ATGTATAATTGTATATATTAAGTTGAGAAATTAATCTTTTCATTATTATAATAGGGAAAAGCAAGGCCACTCTGACATTTTTGGGACCCTAAGAACTCTTAATATGGGGCCTTTTATATATTAAAAAAAAGAAAAATTGGTCTAACATCCCTCTCCAACTTTTGATAATGGGAGAGGTCCACAATAATTTTTTTTGTAGTCTAAGGTCCCTCACCCACACTCATATATAACACCTACTCTCTCTTCTCGCACCAAACAACCCCCCCTCTCTCTCTCTTTGCCATGTTTTCAGCAAATAAAAATGTCTCTCTCACAATTTGCGAGTGCTCTCTCTCTCTAAAGCTCTCTTTTTTTCACTTCTAATGGTGGAGGTTTTGTAGAAAGAAGCTTTTGCCTAAATTTCAATTTTCAGAGCTTCCAAGGTCTTTAAAGTAAGAGCTTCTTAGATTCACATTCTCAGTTTGTCCATTTCTCAGGTATTGTTTATGTTTGACTCTCTCTATCTCTCTCTATCTCTCTCTTTCTCTCTCTCTACACTCACTTTCTTTCTTTATAAAAGTCTCTCTCTACACTTTCTCTCTTTCTTTATAAAAGTCAATTTTTTGCTGTAAAGTAAAATTTTCTAATTCCTTTTTGATATACTTACTCACTCTTTTACCCTTTTTTATGTATATATATGTATGTGTGTAGTTCTAATTAATTCTATGTATATCTATTTTCTAGAAGGGTTTTATTTGGGAAATTGATTTGTTTGACTCTAAAACTTTCAACATTTGTAGCTTTAGAATTGTTGATTTTTCAATTGTGGAAATTTGATGCTTGTCCAAAGAAATTTGAATGTTAGTCCAGAGAAATTTGTGAAATATTTAAGGGTTTTTGATGTTAGTCTAGAGATCCAGAGAAATTTGATATTAGTCTAGAGAAATTTGTGAAAGGTTCAAGGGTTTTTGATGTTAATCCAAAGATTCAGAGAAATTTGATGTTAATCCAGAGAAATTTGAATGTCAGTTTAGAGAAATTTGTGAAAGGTTAAAGGGTTTTTGATGTTACTCTAGAGAAATTTGAATGTTCAAGGGTTTGAACCCAAATAAATTCTTTGGGAAGTCCATAATTTCTCTGGATCGAAATTTAGCTAGATCAATATTGAGGGATTCCTTTGTACTATAAAATCTTAATATCAGGGACCCTAAAAAACGCTAAAAAAAAAATTATGATCAAAAGATTATGTATAATTTTTATATTGTACTAACGTAAATGTTACTTCCATAAACAACTAGTAAAATTTACTTAAATTTGTAACCAAGATTACAATAAGAAAAATGATGAAAATAATCTGAGCTCAACTACTAAATAAAAAGTGAACAAACTGTAACAAAATATCATTTGAATATCATTCTTGCATTTTTAACTGCAAAATTGTTGATCAAGCTTGCAAAATTCACTTATCAATTAAATCATTTTCAATGATAAAATTGCTAATCCATTAAATTTTTATTGTTACATAGTTGACCGAAAGCAATATTTAATTAATGTTAAATTTGAATTTTTTTTTCCCCCCTAAAAACAATTGTAACTGGCATAATTAATTTTATTTTATACATACTCAATGCATTTGAGGAACAACTTTGCATTAATTTCAAATAATTCACCACATTAATCATCCTTCTCTCTTTTTTATTTTATTTTATTTTTTTTGATAAAAAAATTATACATTAGTTTTAAATAATTCAACATAACAACCATATATTAGATTTGAATGTTCTCCAAACTTTGTTAGGAACCCCTTAGAAAAAATGGAGCTAGTCACATCCAACCATTTATTAGATTTGAATGTTCTCTGAACTTTGTTGGGAACGCCTTAGAAAAAATGGAGTTAGTTACATCCATATAAAAATTGAAGCTTGAGCCACTCCACAAAATCTCGTCACATAGACATTATTTGAAAACGGGGAAGACGGACAAAATGACTTCAATAAAAACAATTATATATTAGTTTTAAATAATTCAGCATGTCAATCATATATTAGATTTGAATATTCACTGAATTTGTTGGAACCTCTTAGAAAAAGTGGAGTTAATCACATCCATAGAAAAACTGAAGCTAGAGCCATTCCACAAACTCTCTTGTCACATAAACATTAATTGAAAAAGGGAAAGATGGACAAAACAACTTTTCAAACACATTAAATTTTTTTATAAAACTTTTAAAAATGCTAAAAAAAACCACCAAAAATCAATTAATCGAATAGGAATTTGAATTGTCTCCCATCATTATTTTTTTCCAACCGCCTAGTTTACGTAGTAGAATAGAATAGGAATTTGAGGAAGTGACACAAGTCACCACATGACTAAAAAAAGACTCACACTGCCCGTTCTTTATTTTCTAATTGTATAAAGATTTCCTAGTTAAGAGAGACCAATGAAAACTTTCACACACCATTTGGCGAGTTTGTCGCCATCATCATATTTTGGGAAGAAATTAAAAAAAGCTAGTTTTTTTTTTTTTTTTTATAGCTTTTTTCCACTAAAAAATCACAAAAAAGTTACAAAAAAGTCACAAAAAGCTAAAAAAAACTTAAAAAGTTAGCTTTTAACCAATTTTCCAAAACACTCTTATATCAGAGAAATTCTATTAATAAAAAAATATAGTATAAATTATAAATACATCGCTTAAAATTTGTTTAAAATATAATCCGCCCCATGTAATTCTGAAAATTAAATCCCACTCTTTGAAATTTTTGAAATTCTTTTCAAGTGACAACCAAACGCCGAAAAATAAAAACAAATTTTTTTTTTGTGCAAAATATTCAAAAAGCTAAAAAAACTTAAAAAGTTAGCTTTTAACCAATTTTCCAAAACACTCTTATATCAGAGAAATTCTATTAATAAAAAAATATAATATAAATTATAAATACATCGCTTAAAATTTGTTTAAAATATAATCCGCCCCATGTAATTCTGAAAATTAAATCCCACTCTTTGAAATTTTTGAAATTCTTTTCAAGTGACAACCAAACGCCGAAAAATAAAAACAAATTTTTTTTTTGTGCAAAATATTTTACATCGAAACAAACGAAGACTTGAAACAAAATCATTTTATTGCTTAAAAAAGAAAGTTTGATTCAATAAAGTGTCATTTACGATTTTTTAATGAGCTAAGACACTTATTTAAAAATGCTAAATGTGTTGAAAAGGTAATGAGTGAGAGTCAATTTTATAAAATTGGCTTGCGAAATTTTTAAAGGTAAGTTATTTATGGAAAAATGATGCAAAAATATTTTCCTTAACAAATGATTTACTTATTTTTAGTTCAACCAAACAGAAAAAAAATTAGTAAAATATTTGTAACAAAAATGTTTTAAATCAAAACAAATGGAGCTTAAATATTTTGTCTCACTAAAAAGTCATAAATGACACTTTATTTAATCAAAATTTTTCTTGTAGACAAAAAAATATTTTTGTTTCAAATGTCAAACACGGAAAAACAAAAATAAAAATATTTTTTCTGTGTGAAATTAATTTATAAGAAAAATATTTTTTAAGTAAAATATTTTACATCAAAATAAACGGCACTTGGTAAAATTATACAAACGTGCCTTCACATTTGGCGAAATGATCACAAACTTTCCCTTGATATTTAGATATAATTTATGACCAATTTAAATTGGTGATCGGTTAAAATCTTGTTATACGGGTATATTGATTAATATAAACACCATTAAGTTTGTATACGTTTGGTGAGTTTTCAATTTAAGTACACAAACAACTACCAATTAAATTAAATTTTAAGTTGAAAAAGTAACGTATTGTCAAATGCTTATAGGTGATATTTTTCCATTTATTTTTCAGAAATCAAATGGCCTGGTCTTGAATCCTAATATAAACATCAATATATATTTTTTAACTTTTATGTCTCAAGTGTAAAATGAATGAATGTGTTTTTGGGAAAAACTATTTACAAGGTGTGTACCATATGCACCTTATAACTAAAAAAGAATTTTTTTTTTATATTTTTTAATTATTTACTAAGTAATAGCAATACTAATATGCCTTTAATATTTCATTTTTTTGCTAGAACTTTTAAAAAATTAAATAAATATAATATCATTAAAAATTGAATAAATTAAATTTATTTTTTAAACAAGACCTTTAATTTAATTTTATTTTATTAACGCTCTATTTGTTTAGGAGGAAAACATTTTCTAATGAATTTTTTTTTCAAGAAAACATTTTTAGAAGAAAACTTTTTTCTATGTTTGGTGGTGGTGGTGGCGGAGCTGGTGGGCGATGGTGATGGTGGCAGTGACCGTGGTGATGGTGGTGTGGTGGTGGAAGTGAGAGTGGAGGTGGTGGTGTGGTGACATTGGTAAAATTTTAGTTTACAAAACATTTTTTCCCTTTTAAAAGTTTAAAATATTTTTTGTCCAAATAGATTTGGTTTTCATTAACCATAAAAAATATTTTTCGTTGCCATATTCTGACCAAATAAGAAAACATTTTTTAAAAAATGTTTTCAGCCTAAATAAATGTAGCGTAAGTACAATACATAACGAAACTAAACAATTTGTCTATGTGATTTTGAAGAAAAAAAATTTGTATATTTATCCCATTATTTGAAAAAAAATGAATTTTTATCTCATCATTTGAAAAAATAAAAAAATAAAAATTTAAGATACATGTATTTTAGGGCGGGGATATCTTTTTACAAGTTAATCCCATAAGATTATTATTCCACTCGATATCCTACCTCCCCCTCTAAGATACAACAATTCCACGCATGAAGGACATGAAGTTTAGTTGAACTCCTAATTCGGCCTACCAACTTTCAACCAAACAATAGACTCCTTCATAAAATGAACATGAAGTCCAATGCCCCCTCCAATCTTTCCAAACAAACACCCCAACCAATCCAACACTCAAAATCTTGTCTATAAAAAGCTCCATGTTAGCATTGTCTTTCTTTCATCCAAGAGTGTTTAGAGAAATCAAGTTGACTGAATATGGGTTCCTCTTTGCATCTCTTTCTATTCATGCATTTACTCTTCTTATCACTCTCTTGCTTTCATCTTATAATAATAATAGCGAACTCTTTGTCTGCTGAGCAGCCACTATGCCATGCAGACGAGAGCTCCGCCCTGTCGCAATTCAACCAAACCTTTTCAATTAACAAATCTGCTTCTAGTGATCCTTCTTCTCATCCGAAGGTTGCATCATGGAAGCTCCGAGGAGATGGTGGCAATTGCTGCTCATGGGATGGCGTTGAATGCGATGAGGATACAGGTCATGTGATTGGCCTTGACCTCAGCAGCAGTTTCCTCCACGGTTCTATCAATTCAAGCAGCAGCCTCTTCAGCCTAGTTCACCTTCAGCGACTTAACCTTGCTGATAATGACTTTGATAACTCTCACATTCCATCAGAAATTAGCCATCTCTTAGAGCTAGTAAGTCTCAACCTTTCCTCCTCTGTATTTTCCGGTCAAGTCCCTTTGGAAATCTCAAAATTGTCCAAATTGGTTTCCATTGATCTTTCTTTCAATGTAGACTCAGCAAATTCAGGAGGACTGAAACTTGAAAAGCCTGGTCTGAGAAGCCTACTTCAAAACTTGACTAACCTCAAAGTGCTTCGTCTCAATGACGTGAGCATATCTTCTGAAGTACCTGATACATTGGCCAACTTAACTTCCTTGGCAATTCTCGATCTTGAAAATTGTGGGTTGCATGGCGAGTTTCCAATAAGCATATTTTATCTACCAAACCTTCAAGTTCTTGATGTAAGTTTCAATGGATATCTCACTGGCCATTTGCCTGAATTTCATCCAAGTAGCCCCCTTCAGCATTTGATGCTTTCTGACACTAGCTTTTCGGGGAAGCTATCGGATTCGATTGGAAATCTTAATTTCTTGAATCAATTAGATTTCTCTGGCTGCTATTTCTCAGGGTCCCTTCCAGCATCTCTCGGTAATTTGACCCAACTCAATTACGTGTCGCTTTCTTCCAACAAATTTAATGTAGGGACCCTACAATTGTTTAGTAAGCTAACGAAACTCATTGAATTGTTCCTTAGAGACATTAATCTATATGGTTCGGTATCAGTTCTTTCAAACCTAACTCAACTTATTTCTTTAGACCTGTCCTCCAATCACTTAAGTGGTGAAATAACTCATTTAACGAACCTAACCCATCTAATTATGCTAGATCTTTCAATTAATCAATTGCGAAGCCCAACCCCATGGTCATTCTCTAAGCTAAAGAATCTTCAAATTCTATATCTTTCCTTCAATAACCTCCGCGGCTTGGACCTTGAAATTTTTCTGATGCTCAAACATCTTACTTTGCTCGATTTGTCTGGTAACAAATTAACAGTTCCAACCAAAAGAACTTCAAATAACACTCTTAACAAATTAAATGTGTTAGAGTTGAATTCGTGCAACTTGATGGAATTCCCAAATTTCTTGCGCTTCCAAGACAAACTTTATGTTCTATCTCTTGCTGAAAACAAAATTCATGGCGAAATTCCGGCATGGATGTTGAACACAAGTGTAGAAACTCTAGCGTGGATACGTCTTCGGAATAACTTTCTAACCGGCTTTGAGCAATATCCAGATATCCTTCCATGGGATAATTTAGTCGAATTAGAACTTTCTTATAACAGGCTACAAGGACGACTGCCAATTCCACCATTATCCACCTCCTTTTATAGTGTCTCATACAACAGATTGACAGGGGAACTTCCACCATTGATCTGTCGATTGAGTTCTCTTTATGTTCTTAATTTGTCTAATAACAACTTGACTGGAACTATTCTTCCATGTTTGAGTAACTTTAGTGATTCTTTGAAAGTTCTAAATCTCAAAGGCAACAACTTTCAGGGTCCCATTCCTCACTCATACAATAGAGGAAACAAATTAAAGATGATTGACTATAGTGGTAATCAATTACAGGGGAAGGTGCCAGGATCATTGGCAAGTTGTACTGAACTTGAGATTCTTGATCTCTCAAATAATCTGATTGACGATAGATTTCCCTTATGGTTAGGAGATCTTACAAAGTTACAGGTTCTCATCTTGCGATCCAACAAATTCTATGGTGCAATAGGGAATCCGAAAATTAAGTTGGATTTACCAAATTTGCACATCATTGACCTCTCTCATAATGGTTTTACAGGCGTTTTGCCATCAAAATACTTTCAAAATTGGAATGCAATGAAATTTTTTGATGTCGACAAGATGAAATATATGGACACAATCATTGATGTTGGTGGGAACAATGGCTTCCAATGGAGATATGATTATTTGTACACAATGAACATTACAAACAAAGGTGTAAATACAGAATATCAGAAGATCCAGAATATCTTCACTGCCATTGATCTCTCAAGCAACAAATTTGAAGGGGTGATTTCAGAATTTATTGGAAACCTTAAGGGGCTTCAAGTGCTCAACCTTTCCAACAATGACCTTAATGGTGGAATCCCATCATGCCTGGGGAACCTAAAAAACCTTGAATCTTTGGACCTTTCTCAAAACAAGCTCTCGGGAGAAATCCCTCAGCAACTAGTGCTTCTCACTTTCCTTGAATTTTTGAATGTCTCAAATAACCATCTCACTGGACCTATTCCACATGGGAAGCAATTCAACACATTCGAGAACAATTCCTACGAGGGGAATTCAGGATTGTGCGGAGACCCTTTATCAAGGAAATGTGAAAAGTCAGAGGCACCACCACCATCGAACTCGGAACAAGATAATGATTCAGCATTCCCATGTAAAGTTGATTGGATTTTCATATGCACGGGATATGTGAGTGGGATGGTAGTCGGGATGGTTATTGGGCACACAATAACCACAAGGTATCACGAATGGTTCATTGAGAATTTTGGAAGGAAATAGCACAAGCTGAGAAGGGAGAAAAGGAGGGGACACGGAAATCGAAGTTGATTAGGCATTGTTTCACAAGTTATTTCCTTTGGGGTACGTTTCTAAATTTATTGAATTATTTATGTATAATGCTTTCATGATATATTTTTAGATGAATTGTGTATTCTAGCTTCTACTTATAGAATGGCATAGATCGCGACTTATCCAAAATTTCATTCCCATGTATTAAAAGCGTTCTCAATAACATAATCGTGTCTCAAATTTTCTATATTTTGAGATTCTTAACACATCATATGATTGATTGTTCATGAAGTATAGGAATCATGAGATTTTGGATCTCTAACTTAATGGCAATATTACTACATGTATTTCATTTCACAAAGACAACAAACAATGTTGGACGGGTTGATGCTATGCGCCCTCCTCCCAAAAAAAAAAAAAACACTAAAAGTATGCCATCATTTAAAATACCCCCCCCCCAAAGAAAAAAAAGAAGAAAAGTATGATTCATGTGAACATACGGTAGTATTAGAAAAATTCTAGCAAGCATCATGTATTTTTTGGGGTGAATTACACTAATGGCTTTTGTAATTTAGAACTTGTGTTACTTTGGTCCCTAATCTTTCAATTGCGACACATTTGATTCTTAGCTTTGAATCTCGTTCCAAATAAGAACAATTGAAGGCACCGTTTTCTTTGCAAACAAAAAATATTTCATTTCAAGGATAAATTCGTCAATTTGATAAAATATAAACTAATTTGACAAAAATAATTGTCAAAAAGTTATTTTTGAATTTTTAAAAATTATTTCTACACATTAAAGATAAAATTTTATAAAAATAACAAATCTTTTACATTTTTATTTTTTTATCAAATTAATTTTTAGTATGCATTTGGATGATGATCGTGTAATGGGTGATTGTTTTTGTTAATGTTTTTAGATAGTTATCATGTAATAGATGGTTGTTTTTGTTGTTAACAAATATTTTTGGATAGTCATAATATAATGGATAGTTATTAGGCTTTTAATGTGTAATCGATATGTTTAATATATGAAATATTTTTAGTTTTGAATTTTTTGATTTAACAAATTGGTTTAATAATGACATCTAAGTTGTCGCCATGTTTGACTTTTGAAAAAATAGAAACTAATTTAACAAAAATAAATATAAAAAAAATTTAAATCTAAAAAATTATTTCTACCCTTCCAAAAGATAAAATTATATAAAATGATGTGCTTTTAATTTTTTTTTCACCAATTTAATTTTTAGTTCTTAGAAAAAAAAAATTGAAAATAGATTCTGAAAACTAAACTAAACAGAATTTTATAAGTAAGAAAGTGCCAACATTAATTATTCATTAAAAAAAAGGCCATTACATTTCAAATAGCATACAAGTTAACCAACACAAAATAAGTTCTATGCCGATTTTATCCTTGAAATAGACAGTTTGCAAAGAAACATCTTTGATTATCCTTATTTGGAATACAATTTAAAATTTATGGTAAAATATATCACAATTGAAAAGTTAAGAAGTAAAGTGGCATAAGTTCCAAACTATAAGAATTGTTAGTATAATTCTTCTATTTTTTAAAAAACATTCAGTGTGTTTGGTTTCAGTTTTCTGAAAACTATTTTTTTTTGTTTTTCGTGTTATTTTATTTTTGGTGAATATTTTTAAAATTTTAAGCATTTTTTTTTAAAACTTTTTGAGATGCACTTTAGTTAAACGTATCTAAAAAATAAAATATTAATGAAAAAATATTTTAAAAAATTAATAAATATACAAAAATACCAAAAATATATTGAATTTTCATTTTTTTTTGTATTTTAGGTACAAAAAATTATACTTTTTAAGTATATTTATGTTAGGCGTGTCTAAAATTTGTTAAAAAATGTTTAAAATATTAAAAAAATTAATAAAAAACAAAAGAATATGGAAAATAAAAAAGTAAAATTTTTTGACAAGTGTTTTCAAAAAACTGGAACCAAACATGGTGATTGTTATTTCTTGTTCGTTTTCATACTCAGAGAGAGATAAAACAAATGACTTGTTAGTATCATTCTTTTATTTTTTAAAAAATTATTTCTTTTTCTTTTTCATATTCGGAGAGAGATAAAACATATGACTTGGAGGCTTTTTTAGGACTGACTTAAGCCCTTACAAATCCCCATGCCTGTGTTCAAGGGGTGGACATTGACCTGGACAAAATTTAATAAAACCTTTTCCTTTCACTTTATTTGTATTTCCCCTATATTTTTTATGTTACTTGTGTTGTATGAGTGAGGATTGAGGGGTGAGCCCCTTTACCCTTTCTCCTTTTAGTGATTTTTTGTTTTTTTGTTTTTTTTTTGGTCAAGAAATATTCTTTAATTTGTTTATTCTCTACCATGTTCACAAATTTCTCTGTATGTTTTCCATAGGTGTTATTGTGAGACTGTTGGAGAAAGACAACTTCTGTGCATGTCAGAATTCCATGGAGTTGGAATTTTCTTTATGTTATGATTAATTTTCTTATTGTTTCAAGGCTGTGAAAGTAGAACTATTTAGACAATATGATACTTTTGTAATTTGAATTTGATTTTTTAGACAATGTGATATTTTAAGTAGTAATCAGCTTGCTTGGTTTGATTTTTCAGAATATTGAATTTTTTTTTTCATAATTTTTTTTACTGAATTTTTTTTAATATTCCAAGCAATTTTTTTTTTTGTTTATTTTTAGATACACCTAACATAAATACATTTAAAATTCACTAAATACTAAAAATATATTTAAAAAAATACGAGAATTCAATACATTTTTTATATTCTTGTGTTTTTATTGACTTTTTAAATATTTTTTTATAAATATTTTACTTTTTAGGTACATCTAAGTAAGATGCATCTAAAAAAGTAAAAAAATTACTTAAAATTTAAAAAATATTCACTAAAAAAGATAAGAAAAACAAAAAAACTCAATATTTAGAAAATTAAATTCAAAAAATTGAAATTAAACACAGTGAATAATAGTTTGAACTTCCAACCCTGAACAATTTGAATTTATTTTTATTTTTATTTTTATTTTTGGAATACTATGAGTACGCTAGTCATTTAAGTTGTGCAATTTTTTCCCCTAATAAATATTATATGTCGTGTAATTAAAACAAAACTTTGAAGAATGTGACTCCGATAAGGCTTGTCATATTACAATTCATTTGACAATAGCAAGGTTTGTTCAAAGGTCCAAAGAGTAATATAAGAGATTTTAAAAATTTTATCAAAGTTTCTATCAAATATTTTACATGGGTATGGGACCTAATGGTGAAGTCAAGAAATTAAATTAAAGGGGTACTTATTAATTGCAACGTTCAAAATTTTTACAAAAATATTTCACATAAATTTTTACGATTAACTTCAAGAATGATAAAAAAAAATAAAATAATAATCAGTGTGTTTGGTTTGAATTTTTTGAATTAAGTTTTTGAAAATTAAGTTTCTTATTTTTCGTATTTTTTATTTTTAGTAAATATTTTTAAAATTTTAAGCATTTTTTTTACCTTTTTAGATGTATCTTAGTTAAATGCGTCTAAAAAAAATAAAATATTTGTGAAAAAATATTTTAAAAAATTAATAAATACACAAAAATACGAAAAATGTATTAATTTTTCGTATTTTTTTAAAATATTTTTGGGATTTAGTGAATTTTTCTTTTGCAAAAATTGTACTTTGTAAGTGTATTTATGTTAGGTGTATCAAAAAATTAAAAAAATTACCTAAAATATTAAAAAAATCAGTAAAAACAAAAAAAAAATATGAAAAACAAAAAAGTAGAATTTTCTGAAAAGTATTTTTAGAAAACTCAAACCAAATAAAGTGAATGTTATTTGTAATTAGTGTATTATGGATAATATTAAAAAAAGTCATGGATATAAAGTTTTAAAATAAATTATATAATGATAAAGTAATTTTTTTATACAAAATATGCGTCAAAATTCAATATAACAATCATATCACGTCATTATTAACATGTGATATCATCAACTAATAGTAAAGAAACACATAGAGGATGAACCCTACATGTTAAATGCAATTAACAACTCAATAAATTCTATATTTTCATTGAGATTAATTATGTTTACATGTCAATAATGATAGACATCACCATTATATTGGAATTTTCATAGATAATAATATCGTAGTCTCTTTATTTTCAATCAAAACAATCATTATTGTTCTTATAATTTTAAAAATGTCATTGACATTTCACTCTAAATAATATTTTTATAATTTTTTTATTTAAAATATGTTCTTTATGTTTGAAAAAAAATAAATCAAAAACCCAGGGGGCACGTGACCCCCCTAGACCCTCCTTCCCTTCGCTCTTGGTTGGACCTTGTCACGTCCCAAAATTTAGACAATTAAATATTAAATTAGGACTTAACTCCAATCAATATTTCATCATCCAAATCCTAGGGGTGAAACAAAACGTCCCAAAATTTAGACAATTAAATATTAAATTAGGACTTAACTCCAATCAATATTTCATCATCCAAATCCTAGGGGTGAAACAAAATCTAAACGTTCCCGTCTCTACAAAGTTTAAATAAATTTCCATCCTCAAAAGATCACAAGAGAAAAAAAAAAACCGAACAAAACACCAACCAAACTATCTATCATAAATTCATAACTATCCAAAACTCAACATTAAGGTAGCAACAACTAGTCAAAACAACTTAAATAATATAAAGTTACCAATCATGCCAAATTATCAAAATACCAAGGTCATAAAAAAATAAAAATAATAAATACATAAACTAATAATCAACTCTAAGCTCAAGAAAACGAAAGAAGTCCAAACGACATGTCCTACGATCATAGTTATTTCTTATTACCACTATAGTCTCAACTAAACCTGCAAAGGAAGCTCGGTTGCGCTCAATCAGAATGTACCCGAGTTGTCAAGAGATAAAACGGGTCAGTATACAGGTATATTGGTATGAGTATAAGATTTAACACCCACGTGTCCACTAAAT